CCCCAAAACCCCAAAACCCCAAAACCCCTACATTAAGAACAAAAATTGAACTCAATAATAGTTAAGGATTATTGTATCGATGTTTGTGAAGAATGTTCACTATGCACTCTGGTCCATTTGTTTGGTCCTAATTTTTGTATTCATATCAGCTGCATTTTGGTAAGTACTTTCGGAAAAGCTTATTAAGACTAATACACTAATTCTATAGACTTTGCAGACTCTTTAAGTCAAAGTCAAGCTCAAAGACGACTGGTGCATTCCTGTATAACTTCATGATTCTTCAAATTTTCTTTATGTTCGCTGCTATCGGAGGAATGACCTCGAATAGGTATCCTTGGCAACCCTCTCTAGATGATCAATGGGAGCCAGGAGACAGGCTGTTTATTATGCTCTTTGCAGTCGTTGAATTTGTTACAGTTATCTTCAACCTGATCCCTTATTATCAAACATTTAAAATACTTAAGATAGGCAGGCCTGATGGATTTGTTCCTTGCGCTCCTTCTTCAACGATACTTAGAGTATCAAAGAATATTGTTTTTTGTTTGATGATCTTGGCATATCTTGGAGGTGCTGGATGGGCTAGCACAAGATTCATGCAACAAAGAATAACCTCAGACGAATATTTCAGAATTATGTCTTGGGCAAACATTGCCGGCTCATTGGTGGGGCCAGTTCTTCTTGTATTATATCTAATCTTTTTCTGGAACATTGGGCTTCTTTATCATGAAGCTAGGAAAGCATTCTACTGTATCCTACCTGTAAATTTGCTATGGTCTGCAGCAAGATTTGGAAGAGGAATTCATGGGTTAAGAAATCCAGATTTATTACACGATCTCGTGTCTGAACAAGTGCTGGATCTTTTGATAAAACGAGCTATTGTATATTTTATAACCACGATTTTTCCTTACATTCTGCTCGTAACCCCTCTGATATACTTCTCTTTCTTCCTAATTGAGCCTTCCAAGAGAGAAGAACCAAACTTGCTCACTAAAGAACAAACTGGGTTGAATGAATCAGACACACCAGAAGTAAAGCCAATACCCAATCAGTTCGAATAAGAAATACTAATCTAACTTAATTCAAGGGTTTCAATTTTTCTTGGTTGAATTGGGGTTTTGGGGTTTTGGGGTTTTGGGG